AAGTTCTTCATTTGCAAAATGTCAATCTATCGCCTCAGATTTCAATTTTTCTTCGTTTTCACACCAATCATTCTCTGTTCTCGTTCTCTTTTCTTCAATCTTCTTAACCTTCTGCCACCATGCATTTCACTTTCTGTTGACGATACATACTACTTATATTTGTCGACATCAGTAGCACACACCACATGATTTGATGTTGATAATAGTAATGCGTCTCAGATGTTTTTATGGACCACAGTCAAATATTCAAATTTTTCAGTAATTACCAATCAAGACTTTATCATACATGTTGTTTTAACAAACGAAACTTGAAATGACCGATTTCTAGAAAGTAAGTAAACTACATATATCGTGATATTTAAAAGTAACGGTTTAGAAAACATGAGATAATTTGAGTCCATTTGTATTCAGTTAAGCAGATACTGAACTCCGCCTATAGCTCTTCTAGAGTTATTGCCGGTCCCAAGCCCGGGTAAAGGAGGAGGGTCGGGTATGGGGTTAGTGACCCAATCTTGCAGAAAACTAACTCTCTAAACAAACTCTAACCAGTAAGCAAATATTGACAGATATTTAGTGTGGTTTCCCTCCTCCCACCGGAATCATTTATTGAATCTTTTACGAACTATAAAATGATAAATTTCATAATCAACCTCATTATTCACACAATCATTTAATCGTATTTTAATAAACTTACCATTAATTCCTTCAAGAAATATAAGCGATAAAGTTAAAACTACTGTAGATAGTAGAAAATAAGAATGCATTATTTCATCTAGATTATTCTAGAACATTTAACAAAACGTTATTCATATATACTATTCCATTAGACATCGCAGGTATTTATAAACAGATCATGAGTTATATTTGTAACCCCTACATGTCAACAAATCGATTATATTCAAGATTTGTATTCTCTTTAAAGTAATTTGATCCAAATAAACATTACTTCTTTTTTGATATAGATCAAGTTTCTATTTAAGTTGAAACTATACTCCAATAAAAAACAACAACAACAACAACATGATTTACCTTAAGTATTTAGCACGATTATTAGGACTAAAATCGATTTTGTTAGTAAAGGATATAATAGAAACCAATCGATTCGTGTTTTTATTCTAATACACATTTACTGTAAAGTATATTGTGTTAGTAAGTTATGTATATTACTGATTTTTATTTGAAGTAGTGTAGTGAACAGAACACGAGTGGAGACAATCAAACGTCATGGTTAACTGTGTTCACATTTCCTCACGGTATTAGTGCTCTTACAAAAATCCTCATATATATATGATTGTACAGCTTGATAATAAATTCGTTGGAAAGAGATCCCTTCGCTGAACAATCAAATGTACTTAACACAAAATAACAGGACCTGTTAATAAAATCTAACAATAATTAAGTAAATGCTTAATTTGCAAAATATCCACCAATTGTCTCTTAATGACTCAGACTTCATTGTTCTTGCATTTTTATACAAATTGCATTCTGTTTCGATTCTGTACTGTTCGATCTTCTTGTCTCTCTGCTGTCAGACCTTCTGTTCACGACTAACATATACTACTTATGTCAATATAAGTAGCACACACCACAGTAGTAATAAAATATCGTTTCTAAAAATATTTTAATATTATAGGTACTATGATTGATAATCTATTTTATTTGAATTGAACTTTCGATATAGTAGCAAGACTGAAACTATCAGTTCATCTAGCATTAACTATTTATCTCATTCAAACCAGATTGTTTGATAATAGAATCACGTTATCAAAATGAATAAAGTAATTTTTTACGTGCGATCAATAACAGTTAGTCCATATGGTTTCTATATTTTAATAGTTGAATTCCTAAGTCAATATAAGTTGAACCACCATTGAAAACCTGGAGAAATTGGATGACCGTTTCGCCCTAGTATGGGACTACTCAGAAGTGCTCATTCACGATCCTGTATGCGGGACTTGAACCCGTGACCTTTGGTCTTGTTCGCAAACGCTTAACCTCTGGACAACTGAGTCAGCGTGCGAAACCGAAATTTCTGGGTTCAAATGTTGAGTGCGGGATCCTGTATGAGCGCTATTAAGTAGTTCAATACTAGGATGAAACGGCCATCCAGTGCTTCCAGGTTTTCAATGGTAGTCTAACATTCACCGATTCATGATCTGAATCATAATGCGTTCAGTTGTACTCCTTTCGTTCTATCGGCCTTAAATTGCACTATTTTGGGAATTCTTAGTTATCAAATCAGTTTGAATACTTCTAAACACCATGGAATCCTTTAATAACTCTTAAATCGTTTATAGCGGCGATGATGGCAGCAAAAATACTGTTAACTAAGTGTTATTAATTCTACATACTCCTGGATATATGTATTAGATTTCCTGTAATTTAACTTTCAAAAGCTATTAATTCTCGGATTACTTTTCTTAAAATCTCTCCACACCAGTTTTTTTAATTTGTTGACAACTGACTCAAATTAAGTCAAGCAACATGATTATATAGTAGAATTAGTATTGCATTATTTCTTCTAACAAAATTGTAGTTTATTAAGTTATTCTGATAATTCTTCACACTTTGCTGTAAGCTCATAAAAGTGATGATTTATACCGAACTGAGTACTCGTAATCATAATGAATCGATTATTTTCCAAATGAACAGATATTATTCAGCAAACACATCAGTTGGAGAGGCATTGAGGACAAAGAAGATTGGTTTTTGCTCGTGAATGATCACCTGTGCTTAAGCATTAAACCAGTAAAGATGGAAATCATAACCTTACGTTTTCAAGTCGAGCGTGATACATTTAGAAAACTGGATAGAAGTTTATTGGTTTGATTAACTATTCTTATTCAATTCAATAGAAAGCGCGACCATCATCTACAATCATTAATTGTTATCGTTCCAATCACGACATGATCGGAATCTATTAATCACAACTGCTCACTGCGAGTTCGGTAATCTATCTCATATGTGATCAATAATAGGTGGATAGTGACTGTGATGAGATTATTATTCATCAGCTGACTTAGATTATTTTCATTCCAATAAGCAGAGCTCATCATCTGAGAACAATGTTTTAAGTATATTATCTATATTTATAACAGGTTTTTCATCCTGAAAAATATGGTCATTACTGTTGGTAGCTTGTCTACTGAATGTAATAGTAGAATGGGAATGAGGAAGGAATTTTCAATGCAGTTGAATTAATTTCGAATCAGCAAATCAAGGTATAATTGGAATAATATAGAAGCGTCTGAATTTTGAGTGATACGGTCATGTCATTTAGTTACTGATCATATTATCAAACAATCGATTTCGTACACCGGACATGATTTCCTATCAAACTTAACTTACATTAGTTTGTCTTTAAAACTAATTTTGAGGTGTTGTTTTAATATTTTTAAAATGGATTGCATAGTAAATTGATTGGCACTCAAGAAACCCCACTTTTACATGTAATTCCTACCGAACCAAAACATATTTCAGTACCATTGAAATCAACAATAGATCTAACTTGAAACACCACTAGAAATCTGGATGCACTTGGTGGCCGTTTACTCTAGTATGTGTTTCTTTAGACGTGAGCATCCACGACCCTTTCACACGGAATTTAACCCATGACATTCATTTTTGCGCAAACTGCTTAACTCTAGACCATTAACTATGGAAACCAAAGGACGATGGTTGCAATGTGTCGAGGAATGATTGAATGTAAAACTTAACACCAACGGATGCCAACCCAGTGGTCTAGATTTTTTGTGTTCGCGCACGATACTGATTTTCCTGGGCGCGGTCATGGTTGCCTACTACTGAGGAGTCCCATATTAAGATGAAACAGCCACCAAGTGCTTCCGGATTTTCAGCGGTGGTTTGAGTTTGATCGGTTGATGAGTTGAGTGAAGTCCAATTATCGTCACAACGTTTTACTAGGTAGTCTTGTTTGTCTTTAGTCCTGGTGTAATATATGCTACTTAACCTGACAAATATAAGTAGTATGTGGCCGCAATCGAGAGTGAAATGACTGACAGCATAATTGAAGAGAATGGGATGGAAATCGAATAGGAATCAAAATAACAACAGAATAAGAAGAATAATGGAGTATGTAAAGGCAGCGCAAAGAAGATGTGCAAACGATGTATTCATTGTATGATTTTCATATTTTACTAAACAACTGTGTTATTTTGCATTGAACAACAATTGAGTTCTCCCTACTTAATATTCGTTCATCACGCTTGTATCTGAAAAACTTAGTTTGAATCCAATTAAGGTCGCGATGTTGTTTCTTTTATCTGTTAATTTACTATTTTCCAAATCGGAATTTCGATTAGTTTGGATTTTACAACCAAATCAAAGATCAGAGAAGGATGTAATTTATCTCAGTATTGCGTGAAGAACAAAAATGTGAGTTTATATTTACACTTACTGTATACTATACACTAAGTTTCCCACTGATTCTATCATATTTTATTGTATCAGCATGACGATTAGATTTTTTACATCCCAAACTGACTAGCAAATTCTACTCTAATAGTGTAATTATCAGCTGCTCATCTCCATAGTTTAAGATCCTGTTTCGATCCAGTAAGTGATTTTCTGTATCCATGACTCATGAATCTCAGAATCGAACTGAAGTATTTTTGCATTTGTTTTTTATTTATCGTGATCTTTCAATGCTTAATTTACTTGCTTAAATCAATTTTTATTGATCTCTACCAAATAAATATTTCTTTCAAGATTTGTCCATCTTTTAGAAGCAGTATGCAGGAGAAAAAGGAGTATTTGATAGCCTGTTATCAATGTGTAGCTAGAATTCATCACCATCAGTTCAAGATACATCACAAAGATAACAACCTGAATGAATTATCTAGTGCAGGATCTAGATCTTTTTGATATCACGTGTCCGTATATACATATCACTAATATAGAGCATTATGTAAATATTGAGTACTATTAATTTGAAGGACTCGCACCACACTGAACATTATGTTTCATTAAAATGTGTGTGGTTATCAGTAGGTTTAAAATTTTTTATTTATAACCGATGTGCTTCGTTTTATAAAATGTTAGGAAGTAAACATTTTTGCTGTTACTATGGGTAACAGGTTTTATTTGCACCTCCAAGATATTCTGGTAATGCGTTCAAAAAACATCTGAATGTTTCAGCCAAACGTTCGTACAAGTTTTTCCTGAATGTGTAGAATATGAAGAAAGTGATTGAAGCGATTAATATTTGTTCATGAAAAAGTAAGTGTAAACGTGTGTTTAATGAAGTGAATATACAAAACTTTTTGAGTCAAAATGAAGTTGAATTCGTCTCATTGACCGACCATAGATCACGTGTTTATAGGATAAATATATTCTTAGAATTTCCTTTAAACCCCTAACACTCCACCAGTACTTTATGTTATGTACCAATTACATAACATTTTTGGTATGACCCGATCGAGTGAAAAATAGATTCTACTGTTTCGTTAAATACAATGATTAAACTTTGAACTATTGTATTCTTTAGTATAATACAAACACACTGTTTTGAAGAAAATTCTATTGTCAACAGTGAGTAATGTAAATCCGTTTCTGTGAACTGAAATAAGTTTCGTGTTATTATATACTAGTGTGTGTTAGAAGAATGTCAAGTTCCAGAGTGAACATCAACTCTAGAATGCAGGTACTCCAGCTGACGAGTTCCAAATAGGACGAAACGTGCGTCCTGGATTCCACTGCTAGCCACTATCCATCTCTGCTTATGTCAGCATTTTTGGTTTACTTTTATAAAATAAAACTCATTATAACTGTTTGGGATTTTCCTACTTCAGTAGAACATTGAATACTTCCTAAAATGTATTCCTCAAGTTCATGAGTTAGTATGCAGTATAAATACGAATTAATTAAAATGGATGCTTTCTACTTTAAATGTGAACAAGTTTAGCTTAGTTTAACATGCTGAAAAACGTTCCATGGAACGTTTGAGCTGAATACGACATTAAGTACATATTATTTTAAAAATCATTCTGTTCATTATAGAATGTGTATCAATGTTTTACTCTTACTACTAGGATGGTCATATTTATTGGAATAATTTTTCTACTAGAGTATTGTCAGAATCTTCAACTAATTGATTAGCTTATAATCTATAGCAAGTTGAATAAGTCATACTCGAAACTGGGAAACTAGACGTCAAGTGATCTTTATAAGTATATCAATGTAGCTGAAAAAATAATTTATTACCTATCGTGCAACAAACTTTCATGAACTTATCTCTCTGTGTTCAACTTTTATTTCACAACTATACTTTGACTAAAAATATGTATCACATATTAGAAACGTATTCGTGTTAATCGTTAACGACTATTTTGTTAAATGTAAATTTAATATAATTAAATATATCTCAGTGGTTAAGATCATGAGTCAGTTGAAGCTAGACCACCATGGAAAACCTGGAAGCACTGGTGGGTTCGAATCTCGCAGAGGGCCAGGTCGTGGATAAGCACTGTTGAGGAGTCCCACAATGGGACGAAACGGTCGTCCAGTGCTTCCACGTTTTCCATAGTGGTCTAGCTTCAACTGACTCATGATCTTGACCATTGAAATTACTACAATCTCCACAAAAACCCATCTGAAATTAAATATATATCCATAATAGTGTAGTGTTGTACAACGAATAATTCATATTCATTTATTATTCTAAGATATTAAGAGCAGTAAACATTAGATTATATCAATCAATCCTTAGTTTCCTAGTTAAAACACAAGAGTCTGCAATTAATTAAGATATGTATTCAATTTAGTAAATATAAGATATCATGATTGTGATGAGAGATGATCTTGATAATTTTGTTTCGATCCAAGATTGCATCGTTCCGTATTAGCCATGAATACTATGAGCTGCATAATAAGTAGGATAATAGAGAAACTGACTTACCAAAGGTCTAAGATAAGCTGTCTGAAGTGTGATAATAATTCTTTTTAATGACACTATCAACGTTTCTACAGAAAGTCATGAATAACTTTGAGAATTTAGCAAAATTATGATTTCTGTCTATATGCAACAACAATTAATAAAAATAAACTAAAAGATTTCAGCTGTCGTTTCTTGTCACATTGGGTTCTGTACCGTTGTAGTGAACCGAACACGGGTGGGGACAATCGAACGTATTTAGCACAAAATTACAGAATTACGCGTTAAAATAAGAAAACCATATAGTGAATCGTTAATTTGCAAAATATTAATCCATCATATCAAAACGAACTGTTCCTATTGCAATCATCAATCGATTGTCTCACATTTGATTGTTCATGCGTCTTCTTTCAAACTGAATTGTGTTCCCGCTCTTCCTTTATTGATCTTGCCCCATCTTCTGCTGCCAGACATTACGTTTTGCAACTCGCGTCATATACTATTTACATCAATATAAGTAGCACGCACCACACTGCGACCCAATAGATTAATACTTAAAAAGAAATATCTATGCTAATTACTTTTCACACATTTCTTGAACACATAAACATGATATTGAAGTTTGCTTTCACCAAATAAAAACATAACAAATTCTTATTGATATACATATCAGGAGAAGTAAGTATTTCTCAGTGTTTTGCTTATAGACTTAACTGTTTCTCTCTATAAATGTACAGCATACTTTTTAATACCAGGACAGGGTTGGATGGAGAATGCTGGTAAGCGGCCTATGCTCCTTCACGAGGAGTAACAGGCGTAAGTAAGTAAGTAAGTAATACTTTTTAATAGACTCAAGCACTAAATCGTTCAAACGCATTTATCCACAATCTCATTTTATGTACGTTCTCAGAATAATACTATAACATCAATACAATAAATAAACTCTTACTTCCAATCATATATGTTTATAAGGATAATGAGACTAAGCATCATTTTATTGAAGGTTATTGACTTATTTACATACAAAGGTATCTATAATTGTACATATTCAATGATGAAGTAACTGGTTAATAATTGATTGTTTAGAATAGAAGGGAACTTCACAATATACATTGAAAATAACTTAACTTCAACTCACTCTAAATTGAAGATAACTGAAATATATGTATATATATATTGGTAACTATGTTGTTATGCTTACGTGGATAACTCTGCTATCGTGATTATTTGGTACCATGTTAAATCAAGGTCAGAATACATAACTGACCATTTTTCTAAATGTTTTATACACCATGTAAGATATTATTGAAGATTTGACTAACTCATTGTGAAACTACCTTACAATATCAAATTCCTGGTATATAGACGGCTACATTTCTGTTGGATAACACCATTCAACAGCCGATATGCATTTTATAAATATTGATCAAATTACAAGTAGACAACATGTGAAATACATTGAAATAACAATTGGAAGAACCAATAAATATAATTGTTCCCCTTTACAGATTTAGCTTCATTTAAATAGCTAATAATATACTTCATGAAATACAAATCAGTATCAATAATTCCTTCCAGCACAAGCTAGTCAACATGTAGACAGTAAAAATAAAATAATTTCATTCATAAATGAAACCAGTGAGACTATAATTTATGGACAACCTTTGAGAGACGCCAGACTGACCTTGAGAGTGTCCACCTAATATCTAAGACCAAATGAGGGTTATAAACCTACGTGAGGAATTAGAATTATGATTTACAATTGATTGTTAGGGTTACGAATTAGATTTAGGGTTTTCATCACGAAATGATATCAGCTATAATGCCAAAATTCTATTTATCCAAATGGATGAGTAAATTTCGCAACATTATACGAGACCTGTTATCTTATACCTGATTGGTTCGTTCATAAATTATAGTCTCACCATGAAATCATCTCGTTTCTACAATTCATTAGGTTTATCATATAAGTTGAAACAGTTGTTCAGTGCTGCTTACTTTGCATTTTGCTCTGTTTTATTTTATTTTATAATGACAAATTAGAGATAAATGATCATAACATGATATTTACAAACTGTTGATTTCCATTTTTTTTCTATTACAAAAGTAAACCTAATGTCCTTTGACTGAATTTGGTCTTTTCATATCTGAATACTGCCAGTAATTATATTTCTATATTTGTTATAACGGTTGGTTTTCCCACGTTTACACGTATGGGACGTTAATTTACCTTAGACGAATATCTACACTAGATTCCCTCCCAGTATTCTACTCTACTGGACCTCAACACAACTCAGATCGAAAACATGTGATTAACCTGACTAGAATGTAAACATATTTCCACACCGAAATCCGACACAAACCAACAACAATGAACAATCAGTGATAATAATTATAAGGATATGGGAATATATAACACATGTGACACCTGTCAAACTATCTACATGTTTGACTAAGCAGACAACAAATCATTATCATTCTCACCCACACACCAATATTCTTTACCGCTACATAGTTTTCTTCAAGAATAGATAGTAAGGTTTTCACATGATTACAACCAATGTGAAAAACTACTATCATATTCAATTGCAAACATGTGTGCTAAAACAATATTTACTGAAGTTTAAGTCTTTCAGTTATACGGTATTCCACTTGCTTATTTCTATTCGTTCCACGAACTAGTAACTTAGTGAATTGAAAACATCATAAAAAGTTTTGGTCCTTGAATGACCTAATCAACTTATTTTGTTCGCAACTTCTCTGATTAGAGATAAATAAGACAAATGGTTTTTGAGCAGTTTCATTCTTGTAATAAGGTTTCTCTCAATCGAAGTAATAAAATGCTAGGTATAACTAATATGACTGGTTCAGCTGTTCTATAAATGGTTACCATAACTTTATAGGAATTACCACAAAGAATGCATGTAATCTATTATGTTAAAAAATATGTTTAACATTATTTCAACAGGATATTAGCCATGAAAATATTATATTGGTAAGCATCCTAAGCGTTTTCAAAAGTACTACCTCCAGTTCCTGTTCGTCCTAAAATTAAAATCAATAATGAAGATATTTATTTTGAGAATTACATACCGAAATTATTAGTCAGAATATATTTGAAATACAGGCGGTAAACAGTCACGTATTTAACCACAAACAACTTCAGTTGATGAAATCGTGAACTGATCTAAGTTAGACCATCAGGTTTTCAGTGATCATCCTTTCGCAATCTCAATGAAAGTCAACAATTTCCATTACTCCTAACTGACAATCTCAGTGAGATATTTTATCACATCATAAGTCTATATATCTGTTAGGTAGTGTTTTCTGTTTAAGTTTTCTGTGCAATGAATTAATAGCTATTTGTTACCCCCAAAAAATCCATCGTTTCCATACATGTGTTACATCAATGGTTATCATCCAACCTGAATATAAAGCATCGCTATTGTAATGACAGCAGATACTTTAGCTTATAAACTTATTATGCTAATAATAAACCAACTTAAAGTTCATACTCAGTATCTGGTTTATTTTCAATTTGAAAGAACAGTTCAAATGTCATTTATTTCCAGTAAATAATCTTAATACAGTACGAAGCATTTGGTAGCCAGACTTGGATTTATTAGATCATAAATTAATTATATTTTTCCTGTTGTTGATATTATTATGGATAAAAATGTGGAACAAAATTGAAAGATTCAACAATAGTTAAATGTTGAACAGTTGAATAACAGTAAATAATCGACATTGTCAAGGTCACATGAATAACTGATTACATTACTACGTAAACCTACAACATTTCTGTGTATTTTACACTTAAGAAAACGAAGGAATTTTTGTGGTATGATTGGACAAGTAAAATATTTAACTACATCTACAGGCGTACTGAATCTGACGTTTAACAGATAGTTAAGACTATTATTCAACCAGGTCTGTTGTGAGATAGTAACTCACTGAAGACAATGGTGAATGTGTTGCTCGATTTCGTGGATTCGTTGAAGTTAAACATTAACACAGTTGGATGCCGGCTCAGTGGTTTAGTGGTTAAGTGCTCGCGCGCGAAACCAGTGTGTCCTGGGTTCGAATATCGCAGGGGGCGAGGTCGTGGATGCGCACTGCTGAGGAGTCGCAGAATAGGACGAAACGACCGTCCAGTGCTTCCAGGTTTTCAATGGTGATCTAGCTTCATTTGACTCGTGATCTTAACCATTGAAATTACTATTATTTGATATTAGGCTATCCAATGTAATGTAAACTGAGATGTTATATGAACATAACACTAAAATGTATCATCTTCTAAACAATATACTATGAATTACAGTATTGCTGAAACCTCTTAGGAAAAACTCCTTCAAACTAATCTTAAATAACAATTGACTGTTTACACTCAACTATATATTCTATGGATAAGTTTAATGTAAGTTGTTAAATAATATAAACTTTTTCTAAAATTTTACTTTAACACATAATTGTCAAGACGTACCATTCACTTCTTGTAATATGATCACTGAAAGTAAAAACAAAGATCGCAGTAAAATTTTATTGGAATCCATACGATTAATGAATCTAACTATTATACCGTCGTTTAGTCTTCGGTATTAATAAATAAATAGTGACTGCAGTATAAATAGGTAATCTAGATCATTATAATGTCAGCTAGTCATTTAGTAACCAATGAAAAGTGTTGGCTAAACAAAGTGTGTTCTATTTTTACTTCCTAAAATCAATCCATTGAATACAACATCATGAGAAACAATAAAGTACTAATTGTACATTTCGTTACATTTAGAGCATATTAACAATCGCAAACATAAACGTATACACACACACACACATGCAAAACAAAGCAACTCATATTACAATTGATCAAAAGACTTAATTATGCAAATTATATTGCCATCAGGCAAAATCATACAACTAATAAATCAATATACAATTTCGGATTGAGATTCCTTTTCACTTCTTCCATTTACAATTTAGAATAAGAGTTGTGAACATGACAAGAGTAAAATTGTATTTTCAGATATTGGCTAGCAATCCTATCTGGGATTTATGTTTTGTTTTCTTTGAAAGCTTCATTTTAGTATTCATATTCTCAGTATTCGTTTATATCGAATCTCTTTTAACGAAGACAGATCCTGTATGAAATCGATTAGATCATGTTGTGTTTTGCAGTGCCCAATTTTAATAATGATGTTCAATCAACCCATATATGAGTGCAACCATCTATTCGAGTGAAAAGACTCAAATTAAGAAAAAAAGTTTATTGACTAACCGAACCAGAACGTATGTTTACTAAAAAACTCAGTCACCAATGATCTATTTATTATTTTTGGGAGATTTTAATTATTTCTTGTCTAATAACGTATACTTATCATTTTATCGACTTTGGATTGATCCAATGTATCAGTTAACGTGTAAAGGTACAAATACAAATATTTACCTGTTTGTAAACGCCTTTTATTCATAATCAACGGTGAATACAACCTTTGCCCAAAATGCTCTAGGGATATCTATATACAATAATGTACTCATTTCCATCGACCTACATTAATTTCAACATCAACGCCAATATTCCTTGAAAGAATTAATGGTAGACTTATTAGACTGTAACTTCATATCTTGAAATAAGAGTTGATTGGAGTTTCATTACTAACCAACATCATTTGGAGAATTATTAGAAAAACATGAATGAAGATATACATATGGTAATATTAGTTAGCCCCTCTACAGTTGGCACCCGATGCATCCACGTAGAATTGAACGTAGGATCTCATATGACTCAAAGGCATGACTTTCAGGTTTCGTAATTGCTGCGATAGCATATTTATCAATGATCAATATTTCGAAATTCGGTCCACTGTCGAGGTGACGAAATTTGTAATGAAGCAGTTCTTGATCAAAATTACCATAAATTGCTGATAAGATCAATTAGAAGCGTTCTAACGTGATCATGGTGATCATAGTATCTAGATTCTAACTAAATATGGGAAGTAGATGAGTAAGAGCGAAATGTATGATTTGTAGGATGCAGAGTTAATTCAATGAAAAAAAATTATTCACAGACATTGAAAATGACTTCATTATTTTTTTGGCCTAACAATAACCCTTCGTGGAATCACATTTCGTTTCTAAAGTATTCACTTCTGATAATTTGCAATTAATGTACAAAGTTACTTTCAAAGAGTTTGAGATATTTAAATTAGTCAACTCATCTATAGAAGTCAAGCAATATTATAAATTAATGATATGATATTTCGTTTCATTTAGGACCTACAGTTCCGATATTCAACATCAGCTATTTTTCTGACGAGATTTTTGTCACCGATTGATTTCTTTGCTCTCGCTTCTCGTCGTTTCGGTACGGATATACGTATTTTGTAGTCTCCAACGAGTGATAGTACAGTTACTTGACTGCATTAATTCTAGTAAGTATGATATTTGCTTGTGGACTTGTATATCTTGTGTTTTGAGGGAGTTTGTCTTAGAGCAACGAGGATCCTGAAAACCAGCAGCTATCACATAACATGAAGGAGGTTGGTTGGTTGTAATCATAAAAATGATTAAGTGTTTATTCGAGTGCTAAAAGTAGACGATTGTCCCAAAAAATAAATAAGTTAACTAATTGGTAATTTGTGATAAGACCGAATTGAAAGAGCAAAAGTGTAGGCGTAAATGATAATGAGAGAGATTGGAATTAATTACTGATATGTGTTAATGATGATCGTGTTAAATTATTGGACAGGCTCCAGACACAGCTGATACGTGAGGGAGATGGTAATCTACGTGTCAGCACCTGTTCATCAAGTCTCCTCTTAAAGCTATCCACTCATGGGGCTGTGATCACTTCAGTTGGGAGAGCATCTCGAACAGGGGCAACTCTTGTTGAGAAAAGTGAAAGCATACCTGGATATTCGCTTACTAAAACAACAGTTACAGTCATTTAATGTTAAATATAAATACAGTGGAAGGTTGACAAAATAAATACAAATAACATTGAAAAGTATTTACAAAATAAACTTGTCAGTCATATCTCCACATAGCTCCCCCCAGAGTGTCCGGAGTTAGCACTGGTTATAATGAAAAAAACAATGTAAGGATATGATATATACATGTATACAAAAATAATATTTACAGTTACAGCTAACAAAAATGTGGAGATGAGTATGACATGTAGCAGAGATGTAGTATAGCATAATAAACACACAAAAAAAAATGAAGACACTGTCATTTAATGTCTTGGTTGGCTAACAATGATAATAATAAAGTGCAAAACTGCTAATGACCCAAAAGAAAAATTGAACTGTTCATTTTTGTGTACAATAAATGAGTGATTAAATAGAGTTTACTCGTTTATTATAGTAACAAAAACTTGTTTTATAAAAAAAAATAAATGTGACAAAACGAATAATTGTGGAAAAATGTGATTATGTATACTGTGAAAAGGAAAAAGAGTTTTTTCTTAGGTGAAATTAGTAGTGTGTGACATCGGTCAGTGTGTGCTTTGTTGTTTTTTTTTAATCGACGAAATGGACATAACGCTTAGGTTTGTTTATAAGTCTACCGGAGCGTGTTAAACAAGAAGGCTTAGTATTAAGTTTTTTATCCTCCACTGGTTTTTCAGTCACTGGTGGGAGGGGTTGTTTGTCAACGGCGTTGTCTTCTTGGACTTGAGTAGCTTCATAGAAAGCAGGTTTGATTCTGTCTATAGAAATGGTGTAAGATCCATTTTGAATGTGTTGTGTGTTGGTGAAAATCCCTCCATGTATATACTTGTACTTTATTCCTATTGATCACATTAGTTGTACATTGTTGTATTTTGATTACATTTGAATTGTTAATATTTGTATTTTTGTTATAGTTTTTGTTTTTATTACGCATTCACTAGGTTTGTGTTTCTTCCTGAACTGCATCAGCGTTGTTTTACTTGACACTTGTTCTTGGCGGTAGCCATATTGATTTGTTCCTCCTGTTGTGTGTGATCTATCCAGTCAGGATAGAATAACGTCCATTTGTTGTGATTGGTAATTTTTCCTCATCTTCTATCAAATTCTTTATTTATTGTAATTTAGATTTAATTGATTGAACAATCATTGGTTGAATAGCCGGGTGATAATATTTGTTTAGGTAATGATTTACATTAAATTTATTATGAATTATAGAACCGCTAGTTACCCGATTACTTGTTCTGATTTCGACGGGAAAGGGCGCGTGTCTAAAGTCCCCGGTAGGCTATTCTTCTACATCCAAACCGTAGTTTGGATCCTACAATAGTCTGCTTGTTGCCATCTCTGTTGATGATGAAGTATTTTTGTGTGCGTTTGATTACTTTATATGGGCCTTTGTATGGTTGTTTTAATGGTTTTTTAACCGCATCTACTCGAACGAAGACAAATTTGTACGTTCAAGGTTTTTATCAAGTTGGACTCGATTGTTGTGTACACGAGGGGATATTGCTTTAATATTCTGCATCGTTTGTAATAGACGAAGTAAGTAGAATCCCCGTGCGTTGTAGGTTCATAGTTGACTAGTTGACCAGGTGACGTTAGAGTTGTACCATAGACTAACTCGGCGGCTGTACATCCAATGTCTTCCTTTATGCTTGAACGAGTACCGATGAGTACAAGCGGTAAGGCATCGCTCCACTTTGATGAGTCAGCTTGCGCCATCAGTGAGCTTTTTAATTGGAGATGAAATCTTTCAACCATGCCATTAGCTGCTGGGTGGTAAGCTGTGGTTTTAATGTGGCTGACCCCTAGAAGTTTAGTGAACTCCTGAAAAAGGACAGATTGAAATTGGGGACCACGATCTTGTGTGATTATTGATGGTACTCCATAGTTAGATATCCAGCGGTCGAGGAAGCCTGAAGCGACTGTTTCTGCCGAAGTGCCTTTTATGGGGCAGGCTATGGCCCATCTAGTAAACCTGTCTACTGCGGTGAGAATGTGGGTGAAGGAATTTGACGGAGGCAGTGGCCCAACTAAGTCCAAATGAATATGTTGAAAACGTTTGTCGGCAATAGGGAATTCCCTGATCGGGCTGATAGTGTGTTTTTGATTTTGCTGCGTTGGCACTGTAAGCAGCCACGTGTCCAACGTTTAACATCCGAATTGATTTTTGGCCAAACAAAGCGTTCTGTGATAAGCTTCGTGGTAGCTCTGATGCCTGGATGCGACAGTCCATGTAGCTGTTGAAATATTTTTCGTCGACAGGGTTGTGGCACAAAGGGGCGATTATTACCCGTTGAAGTGTCGCAAATAATAGATGCATCTGAGAAAGGAATGGGTACAGGTTTAAGATTCAAGTTAGACTTCCGTTTGCAGGTCTTCAAATCTGGATCGTCCATTTGTAGTTTAGCTAAAGCTTCAAGGCTGATGTTGTGGTTGTGGATAAATCTTGTACAAATTTTGTTTCCTATTTTATGGTGTGATGTAGTCTGTCTGGTTGATATATAAACCCAGTATGTTCGAAATAAATGATTCATATCTCAGAGTCTGAGATTGGTGTTCTGAACTTAACAGGCAGGGCTAGGCGGGAAGCAGGACCGATGAGGATTCTAGACTGCTTGTACTTGTTTTATGTGCCATTGGTCCGGTCGATAATTCACTGTTCTCTAATTGGCGGTATCATTACGATATACATTAATAGGACACAGAGCAGAAGATGGCGAGACTCTAATTTAGGGACGAGCCAATCAGAAGCGTTTGAGCAATTTCAAGGTCGCGGAGCCAAGTTTAACACGCGATCCTAACATACGATCAGTTCACAGCGGATTTTAAAGAGAAGGTGATTAATGAAAGGTTACAACAGATGAAAAGGCGAGACTCTAATTTAGGGACGAGCCAATCAGAAGCGTTTGAGCGATTTCAATTATTAGGCAATCAGAAGACAGCATAAAGTAAAAATATATTTAAAGAAAGTAATAATTTACAGTGGATATTCTTCTTTTACATGATTTAAAAACTCGTATATTAGCATCCTAACCCTAACCCTCACCTAACCCTAAACCCTAACCTAAACCCTAACCCCTAACCTTAGCCCTTACCGTATGTTCTCACCCTAATCCTAACCCTAAACTCTAACCTAACGCTAACCTTAACCCTAAACCCTAACTCACCTTAACCTTAGCCGTAAACCTAACCCTAACCCAATGGACGAGTTTCTATTCCATATGCATTGTGAATTCAAAACCTCTGAACCTTAATCAAACCTTAACAAGTTTTTACATCATGTAAAAAGAGAATATCCACTGTAATTCATTACTTTCATATAATATATTTTCACTTTGTACTAACATTCTTCTGATTGGCTAATAATTGTCAAGGTCACTTAAGATTCGTTCAAAGGTCGTCCTTAAATTAGAGTCTCGCCCACAAGATATTACAATACCCAAACACATTAAATTAAAGTTCAGTGCTGAACTTCCAGATGTACAACTTTTCTCAAGATAATAATGATTATCATTATTTTCTAATGTGATTGTTTCCAGTGAATGAATAGAATAATGCTTCAG